CTATGAATATTATATTCCAGTTCTACCAATCGATACTCTGAATATTACACACAGGACCTATAATAAAATGTGGCACCCATACTGCAAACTAGGCTTTCTCTCTAATAATATGTACATATTTTGTGAAGCAAAGACGTGGTGTGTGTGTTTGTGTGTGTTTTTGTCCCAGTCTGCCACTGACGGAGTCATACATTTTCCAAAAGTTTTTATTATAGTAATTTAATGTTACATCCCCTTAACAGGAAAGCCGTGAAAGCAACACTCGTCTTGCTACCTCTGCTAGGCATCACCTACATGCTCTTCTTTGTGAATCCAGGGGAGGACGACATCTCACAAATCGTTTTCATTTATTTCAACTCCTTTTTACAGTCTTTTCAGGTGAGAATAAAGACAATGATGCAGTGTGACACTAGCCAGTGCTCAAAAAAGCCTCCCACACTATATACAAAGTGAATCATGCTGATTTCTTAATGCGCGTTATCGCAGAGCTGCATCACTTCTTCAGGGTGACTTTTCAGGTTATGAGCCTTCTTGTGGGAAATGATCTGAAGTAGCATTCTGGCTGTGCTTACACACAATATAGCCCTCCTGCCTCATGTTCAGTGCTCTCAGCTGACAGGAATAACATGGCCATGTAGGCATGATTTCTTCTCTGTGGCCTTTTTTTTTTTTTTTTAATCTTTCTATCTTCTGTGCTTAAATATAAGACTGTGTGGGAGGAAAAAAGGATTTCTTTATAGTCAAGAATTATATTTGGTGTGACAAAATGTGTTCCCAAAATTGAATACTTAATTTATTTAGCCTATTCTTCTCATGACTGCGAAATCTAAATTCTCTGATGTCTAATTAAGGTGTCATTACACAATACAGCTACTTTCATTAATAGTAATGTATGTTATTCTGCAGGGGTTCTTCGTGTCAGTGTTTTACTGCTTTCTAAATGGTGAGGTGAGTCACTGGAGCTTTACAAAAGTCAGTATTTATGAATTTAATCAAATTGTCAACGTGTTTCTTGATGTATGATCTTAATAAAGCCCCACATGGATTTCCTTGATTAGTTTAGTGTTTTTTCTTCTAAATACCCTCCTAGTTAAGGTAAAAGCAGGGGTAGGATCAGGTATCTTTCATAAGAAAAAAATTGTTGATTGGATTTTATGTTTTAGTAGTGAAGGTGTAGCATTTTAAGTGTTATCCTCTAACATGATAAAACAAATACTGATCAGCTCTGTTATTTTCATCTAATTAAAATAAAAGCCAATTTCTAAAATTCTGGCTGTTTGAAAGTCATTAACGCCATTGTAAGAATTTTCACATTTGTCAGTAATTATGAAAAAAGAAGGACCCTCTTGTGTCTCCTCTCAACCCTCAAATAACTGAAACTCAGGGGTGGAGGCAGTTCATTTGATGAGGAAAAAGTGATTGTGTGGCATTAAGGGATAGATTTGAATTTTGGATATTTTGGTTCACTGTTCACTATATGTAGGACTTTTTGCAGTAAAGCCTACACCTTGTTTTTTTAATAATCAAATAGGGTTTTTTCAACAGTAAAATAATTCTTTTGGGAAATACTGATATTTGCTTTCTTGCCAAAAGTTAGATGAGACGATCAATACCACTCTCATATCTGTATGTTAAGCATAAAGCTACACCCATGAGATAGTTAGGTTAGCTTAGCATAACAACTGGAAACAGGGGGAAACAGCTACTCTTTAGCTCTGTCACAGCATGTGGTTTTAACACTTTAGTTTTTGTACGGATTTAACAAACTAGATAAAATGTGTTAATTAGTGGCTTTAGAGGTGCTGACAGGCAGATTTTTATCACCTTTGGACTAAGTCAGTCTAGCTTCTTTCAAGTCTTTATGTTTGACTAACTGTCTCCTAGCTGTAGCTTCATATATAAAGAACAGATGAGTTGTATCAATCTTCTCACTTAACTCTTGGCAAGAAAGCTGGAGAAGGACTACCTAGTCCGGCTCTGTTCAAAGGAAATAAAAAAAAATCCATCTGGTAAGCTAAGTTAAAGCACTTTTCAGACATGTAATGCATAACATTGCAACAAGTGTTGGATTTTTATCATTCAGACAAAAGTGTCATATCTGCCGGAATTCGCTTGCCATGTTAAATGATAATGGGATATAGAAATGTTACTAGAAACCTTGCAACCGTGGCTTTTACATAAAGGGGCTCGGGTGATTATTCAGGCATGACACCATTGCACATGCATCTCATTGCACATGCACATGCACATTTCCTAAAATGTTGACAATGTTAACAAAAAAAGGCAAGATCAGAGTTCAGACATTTGTTCTTCTATACATATGCATATATGCATTTATAAAGTAGTTATTATAAGTACAATAATGTCATATTTATCTTTAACATTTTAGGTACGTTCTGCAGTAAGGAAACGGTGGCACCGCTGGCAGGACAACCACGCCCTCCGAGTGCGAGTGGCACGAGCCATGTCCATCCCTACATCTCCAACCAGGATCAGCTTCCACAGCATCAAACAGACCACAGCTGTGTGACCAAGGGAGCAAGCATATAATCTCCACTACACAAGGGAACAGACTTAATCTTTTTCCAGTACAAACAATGAAGTGATTTACAGAACAAACTGATTCCTTTAAGAAGGCCACCGTGTGTCCAGTGTGACTGAAGAGCCAGGCAATTTCTGTTCTGTCTGATGAGAACAAGTAATAGCACCTAAAAGTACACTTTAACTGCACATGAAGTATGATTGGACACATAAATAAGATTGTTGGAGGATTTATTTCCCGTAACATACGATACATGAGGTGTTTGGTTTGAGTTTTTGTGGAATATTTAAAATACATAAAAATGGCATCATTATCATCAAACTGTCACATCACAACAAGTCTTACTGTCTGATCTGATAGTGATCTTATCACTGCTTAGTGGTTATTCGCCAAGCAAGATAATCCCACAGCTTTTGCAGCAGGATACTTTAACAGCTCAGACACTTGTATGCATCTGCTCAATTCTTGGTTAGAGGGAGGGCAACAAGTAATATTTAGAATTTAATTAGATACATCAATGCAAAAAAAAAGAAAGCAATTTCTATTTAGTATGATGAATACCAAACTCAGAAATGCTCTTTGAATTAACTGCTCTTTGGCATCAACAGCTGCTTTTGACAGCTATGAAAGAGCCTTTGGGGAGAAGAGGGTTCACCTGAATTAAATATCAAAAACTATACAGTATAAAAGCAAAGATTCAAAAGAGGCACTGCTCTCTCTTGTGAAAAGGGATTCAAAATAATGTTTGTGTGAAATGAACAATTAGTAAACACCTCATACCACATGGTGATACATTTTGGTCAATGTAAGATGATTATTTTATACAAACAAGCCATTCTAATGGAGCCTTTATATGTCCTATATGTCCCGAGAGAAGTCAGAGTCTTCTCCGTCTGTGTTCTTTTATACAAAGTGGATTTTTTGTCTTGTACTGTAGTGTACTGTACTGCTAAGCTTCCTCTCTGTTCCAGCTATTTGTTTCCACCCCTGTGGAAGAAGGAAGGTGTAAACACAAAGAGCAATTTAATGTGTTATGTGTTTAAACAGGCTGATGGATGAGCAGCCACAAATAAAGCTATATATCTATACATATATATCTATATCTATAATATAT